ATAAGCATTGGAGGCAAGTGCACCTCAGGTGCACCTTCGAGCAGCGGTCGGAATGCGGTTATACTGATTGCAAAGATTGATATCTTGTCACTTGTCGTGCACGACACAACTATCTTTATTGAATATGTTGCCTGCGATTCCATGCTCGCAACCCAAATTTCCACGCGCTTTGCAGTTCGAGACTTGCACCTAGTGCCTGTGGCTACTTGGCTGTTCAGGTTGCATACCCTGCCTCTTCGCGCATTTCAGCCACTCCCGAAGCCAAAGCACGGCTGCGCGCCTGCTCAGGATTTACGTCTCTTCGTGTTTGTCAGCTGTGGGTGATGAGTGGTGAACGCCTGGGCAGAAGCCTTTCCGGTTGCCATGGTGTCTAGACGTTCAGCTGCCTGCAGTGTCAACCCACAACCACTGGATCGGTATTCCACGAATCCGTGTCCCTGCCTGCATTTCATGGATCACCGACGCCTCTTGCATGTGCCTTACCTGGATCATGCTACCAGAACAAGTTTTGGATGTTGCCATGCCATTCATAATTCCAACCTTGGTAGCCAGCTGCCCAGCGAGCACACGCGCCCTAGCCAAAGCAGACAGCCGCTGATCACGGACCTTTGCAAATCTTTGGAGTCTAACGAGACCAACAAGGGAATTCTCTGGAGGGGTTCTTGGTGGCAGCTGTTGCCAGAAGCATCTGGACGTTAGCTCAGAGCCAGCAACTTCAAACATGGAATCGGACACCAAAGCTCTCACGGCTGCAGCCCTTGTACATAGCAGCTCAAGCTTACGACGCTCAGTCAACGCTCAGTCAACGCTCACTGGCTAGCCTGATTTTTTTAGAAGGCGGCCTGCGGGATCATTAACCTGTGGACAAAACCCATATCCAAACAAAACATCAAAAGCAAAATATTGACAGATGACATATAGAAGCGAGAGAGAGAAAGAGAAGCGAATCGTCTTTGGCCTTCGCTGATACTTGCATTTCCCAGACCAAGGTTAAAGCATAGGCGCTGATGACATCTTCTGTCTGGAGCCACTATGCCCTTCCCAAATGCAGCAGTGCAAAACACCTACAGCATAGGGAAGTGTGCAAGACAGTCTGAAGATCCATGTTCACCTTAGCAACTGCTGACACGCCAAGGTCAAAGCGAACTGCAACCGGCCGCAGTCTTCGAGCATTGCATCGGCTGCTGCGATTGTTTGCTTTTCGGTCAAACATGAGGCCGTCCATGTGGTGCTGCAGGTGGCTTGCAACTAGACATCGCTAACCACAAACTTGCAGGTGCACAGCCCTGAGCAAAACGGACAGTCCCTTCCCCCAAAAGCTTAACATCCTAGCGAATTACTTCTACAAGGGCACGATTACTTTCCAAAAAAGCCAACTAGGAAGGCTTCTGAATGATTTTCGGGGTCCCCATAAGGAATCATAAAGGATCAGGGACCCCCGCGATTTCCTACGTGTTTGTTGCTTTTATCACCTCTTGTGAAGACCTTTCCGCACAAAGAACCTGCACAGAACCCATTTCTGATATCCTCTCCAAGACAAAGCCAACAATCCGACCTTTCAACCTACCCCGCTTCGCATTTGGATGCTCTTCTGTTTTCCTGCGTTGTGTGGCGCTTTGCGCTTAGGGTTTAGAGCTTACAGGTCTTTATGTTTAAGTTAAACCATGACCCTACCAAACCCCCGAAAGTAAGAACCTGAGCCAGGTGCTGCTGTCTTCAATACTTACACTCGCGCGGTGCCTGACGCGCTTCTCCTTACACATAGGTGTGAAAAATTAAATGCTAACATTTTTTCCCCCTGCAAACAGGACCCGCGGCACCTGGCCCCGTCTTTTTTTAGCTTTCGGGGGTTGGTAGGGTCATGGTTGGCGCAGCATTCGGGGTACCACCTGTCGGAGCCTCCTCCAATCAAGCATGCATCACTCAGTGGCCTCGTCTTAACAAGGTCCCTGCAAGGTTCCTCCGCATGCCATTTTTTCGGCCCTTCTACCCAGCATGGTGCTGAACATGCTCGTCTGAGAAACGGTCAGGTTACTTACACCCCCTGCCACTGGCCGCCCACAGAATGGACTTTGCAGCGATCATTGGTTTCCTTGGTCCCCAGGCTTGATGTGAGGTTGTCAAATTTTGAAATCTCCAGGATCTGCCCGCCCTCTCGCCCATGTCCCTGCAGTGCCCAACCCAGAGTATCCATGCAGTGCCCGACCTCTGAATATCCCTGCAATGCCCAACCCCTAAGTATCCTGCAGTACCCACTCCGAAAGTATCCCTGCAATGAGTCACGTAACGTATTCTCAGACGCCAACAGGAACTTTTGGCGAAGGGAGATAATTGTGGGGGGCAGGACAACACTGTATAAAGTGGCTTCGGCCAAGCATCGTCGTTGTTGTGCCCCGCACCTTCTTGCATTTGTCTCAAGCTGCCCAAAGCACCCGCTTCCGTACTGCAAAGCGCTAGGGCTGACAGCTACATACAGCTAGGATGAAGCCAGCTGAGTGCGTGAGCAGCCAACTTTGCACAAACGATCAAGCTCGCCTGCCGGACCCTTCACAGCAATGGCAGGATCAGGGACGCCCCCCGGAGCAAAAGAGCAACGCGGTCCACCCGGGCAACATACGCAGGTACAATCGCCGTAGAGGAGATGATTCTAGACACAGACCTTGCCAGACCATGCACAATTCCGCGGCGAGCATCGCAGAACTGCACTCCCCGACCTGACCTGTGAACCAGTCCCTCGGATTACTTGATCGCCTCCCCATGCTAGACTTAACTGGTAAATTTCCATCAATGGACGGCCAAAAACCTTCACATGATCCTTGGGGAAGATGGTTTGGTTAGCTTGATTTGGCACTAAAACTATCTTCGTTGCTTCGCTGCGTTGGGATTCTGGAACTCATTTCAAAGCGGTCTGCTGTGCTATGCTGTGCTTTGCTTGCACGTTTAGCTGAGAACCTCATAAGAACCGCAGCTAGCATAACTTGCCTTGTGTAGAAAGTTTTGCGTACTTGTTCACATGTGTTTTACAAACCCTAGTTCATGCCAGCATGCCTAGGTCTAGGTTTGAAACAAGCACCACTGCTGCCTAACATCCTGCTCATGAGTCTTGTGCCAGCCAGCAGCGTCAGACTTTGTGGGAAGCCGCTACCAGAAGTCCACTCTCGCCACAATGATCAGTTGCGCACGAGAGGCACCACTACAATGTGTAGGCGCCCTGTTCCACTATGCACTGTGCTCCTGGGTGGCGATTGAAGTTTGACTTTATTTATTGACTGCTCCCGATGGCTGTCAGTTATGTGAGGGAGAACCCCTTCACTGATGCAGCCGCCTGTCGACAGGCTTGTGGCTTGGGGCCTTTCATGATATCGCAGCAGGCCATGTATCAACCATCCATTCAAACCTTCTGTGCTGGTGCACTGTCTTGGGATTCTGGGACTCATTGGAAAACAGTCTGCTGTTCGATGCTGTACTTTGCTTGCATGTTTAGCTGAGGACCATAGCCATCATGACCAATGGTTTATAGAACATGTCGTGCACCATTATGCTGATATGACGCGTGATCTTCCTGCTCCTCCTCCTCCTCCTCCTGCTGCTGCTGCTGCTGCGCATCCTGATGCTGCTGCCATGAAAAGACAGGCAGCAGAAGTGCATATTTCAGGCATATTTCACCCAATGCAAGCCTTGCGCCCCTCTTTCACGGTGGGGTTGTTAGATTTAAAATGAATAGGAAAACATGGTCTCCTCGCCCACTCAGCTATCTCCATACAGCGCCCAGCCCCAGATTCTCCCTGCAGTGCCCAACACCAAAGTATCGCTGCTGTGCCAAACCCCAATTTGCTGACATTGCCTCGAGCACAGTTCCTCAGCCAGGAGTCTTGCAGCAGTTCCAACCCAGAGCATCCCAGCAGTGTTTCCTCGGAGTCTCCAACCCCAAAGTGCCCCTGCAACGCCCAACCCAAGAGGGCTTGAAACGAAAAATGCTTAAAAAAGCAACCAGCTATGGCCCCACGGAAGCATGTTCTCCCTCAAGCGCCCACCCCAACGCAACGTGTTCAATTGCATTGCTAGCAGGATGCTCCAATGCTCCATACTGACGCATTTTTCGTAGTTTAACGAAACATGTCAGCATCTCCATAATCAAATGTTGCGCGTTCATGTTCACTTGCCTCACAGTCGCACTCAACCACTCGTGCTCAACCATGTAGCTTGAACACATTGCAAAGGACTTTATCCCGGAATTAATTTGTTCTGCGTATCTCAGAACGGCATCTGAACGTTAAACTCAAAAAGTAGACACAGCTGGCACTGAGCTGACTAGGCCTTGTCACACAGGGGACGTCGTGCCTCGATCTTGGATGCCCAACCTATCCACAACTGGGGCAAAGCCCAGTCATGATGAGCAGCTCGAGAGTTGTAGTTGTAGCAGGCGCCGCCGTTGAGGTGTCTATGTCCAGGCGCCCGCGAGTCCAGCACGGTGTGAGTGGGTCAACAATAGAATCTCTTCACTGGTGAAAAAAAACTTCTGCGGGATTGTATCTTGTGCAAAGTTAGCTCAAACTGTCATTGCGCCTGCATGCTTCGCGGAAATTGTTGAACTTTTGACTCACACGTGCGCCATTGCCACAACAAAACGAAAACTTCATCAGGGAATGAAAGATCAGAAGCACAGCATATGAACACGTATCCCTCTAATCGAAAGACCTGTGTTACAATGAACGTGATTCCCCTTTAACTAATGACTAATGCTGCAGGCGCCAGCTAAACCATGAGGACAAAGACCATCTCCTAACTCGACCACATTCGTCGCAGTAAAAAAACCTTCGGTTTTTTTTTACATCTCGGCTACACACGAAGCAGCCCTGCTGCATCCTACTCTCCGTGGGCAGGCCAAAAAGTCAGGCTTTGCTCTGCAGTCTTAGACTTGTGAGCTGCCAAGACAGAACTGCACATCACCTGCCACGGAGACGCAACATGACCACAGCGCGTGGGTGTAGATAACTCGCTTATGCCCATAAAACACGCCACGAATCGGGGCTTTCCCGCTCCTCTATAGCATAGGCTTTGCTCTGTGCATGCACCGCAGCATCCAAGCCAGTCTCCTCTGTATCTTCCCTGACTCGAAGGCCTGCAACTGCCGTCAGAATCTTGAAGATCACCCAAGAGGTCAAGCCAATCCAAACGACAACGCACAGGATGAGGATCAGCTGAACGATGAGGGCTGTCCCTACAACGCCTGTCAGGCAAGCAGGAGGCAGACCATTGGAGCTAATACTTGGAAAACATGCCCATCCATACCGTCCGTGGTAATAGTCGAGGCCGCTCCCCCAGTCAAACAACGTTGCAGCAAGCGTACCCCAAACCCCACAAGCGAGATGAACAGAACTTGCATCAACCGGGTCATCTACCTTCAATTTCTTCAGCAATGACGAAAACCCAGCATAGACTATCCCGCCAGTTGCAGCAACCACCAGCGCGCTGCCAGCATGCATGTTTGAACAGCCAGCTGTTATGGATACGACGCCAGCCAGAATACCATTGCACATTCCCGTAACATCATACTTCTTGGTAGTTGCAAGTCTGACTAGAAATAGAGTTGTTCCACCTGAAGACCCTGCGAGCACTGTGTTGACAGCGACTTGTGCAGCCAGCGCTGCTGTGCCTTTATCGTGCATGGCCACTGTGGATCCTGTGTTGAAAGCATACCAGCCGACCCAAAGGAACAGAGTGCCAAGAACGACCATTGGTAAATTGTGCGGCTCGTATGTATCGGGCTTATCAAAACGATGCAGTCGGGGCCCCAGTGTGGCAGCACCCACCAAAGCTCCAATTCCACCTGCGACATGCACGATGCAGCTGCCAGCAAAATCCGTGTATCCGACATCGAAAAGGTTTGTTAGCCAGCCTCCACTCCAAGTCCATGCTACAATGGGCGGATACAGAAAAGCTGACATGAGGAACGTATAGACTGAATATGTTGAGCTCTTTGTCCTCTCAAGCACGGCACCACTGACAATGGTGGAGGCGGTGGTGCAAAATGCCCAGTTGAAGAACCAAAGTGCCAGACTTGTTGGACAAATCGTCTCACAAGCCAAAGTTGCCTTGATTTCCAGCTGGCCAGGCCCTGTCGAAGTAAGGTTGGAGCTGAAAAAGCCACTGGTGCCTAGGAGCCCCTGGAACAAGGTACCTTTTGCAAATCCCCAGCCAAAGGACCACCAGCCCAAGGTACCAACACAGAGACTCAGAATGTTCTTGATGAGAGCATCCTCAGCTGTTACTGTTAGCGGAAGTCTCGCACACACCCGCGGCCAAAAAGCAGACAAGACAACCAAAAAAATGCGCTGCAAATTCTGTCGTGACTCCGAAGCATTTCGTGCCCGGCATGTTCCAGACTCCACCATCGCAAAGCCTATGTGCATGAACATTAATGTGGAACCGCACAACAGAAGCCAAAGGTTGTCTGCAGCTCTGGCAATGCTGTCATCAACCTGGTGAAGATCCTGCACCTTGATTTGGATGTCGAACTGTCTTTTTGATGCAAGTAGAACCAGTGAGGTCGTTCCACTACAAAAATCGAGCGCGATTTATATCCAGCTACACAACAGGCTTAAACTCTTGATGTTCCTCATTCCAAGTGACATCCTGAAGCAGGCGTGCTTCCATCTCTTCGCCGACTTGAAGACTTCTCCCATGAAGACGCTCCTGTCGGCTAGAGACCAAAAGGTGGACAATCAATTCAAATCTATCAAATTTTCAAATGGCGCGACACTTCTTTGGACAAGACCTTCAGTGTGTTCAATCGCCCAACAGCTTCAAGCTGCAGCGAATGCATTTCTGACAGCAGCTCGGCATGAGAATCTGCGCAAGTCTTCACTGCCTTGCGTGCGATTCTGAGGCACAAGACTTTGATTAATGTTCAGGCTGCGCACAACTAACAGCAAACCAAGAACAGTCCTGCCAAAAAAACTCTGAACATCAAGCAGGACACAGTACATGCCAGGAGCGAACACAAACGCCACATTTTCATGTCGCGGAATCCCATGCGAAGTCAAAGGAATTTGGTGTCACCCCGACTGGCTCTTGCCGGCATCCTATGAACGTCAGTTCTTGCTGCTCACTGGAACATTAAATGCTGTCCTATGTCTGCTGCTCTGGGTCTGTTCGAGCACAATCTAGCACGTGCCATGTTCAAACATCCATGCATGATCTCGGATGCTCTCAACAAATTCAACCTGATGGGTAGCATCAGATTGCAAACCAGTTCTCTTCTTTCTGCACATCAGTATTGATAGATGCTTGCAGTATGCTTGCAGCACTTCGTTTGAAGCTGCATGCTACGAACAACTCAGCTTGACATCTGAATGCCAAGATCAATGCACGGAATGCCTTCGGCATTTACGAATTGGTATGGGTCGGTCCACGATTTCTCCCACATCCTCATCACCAATGTCATAAGCCTTTGTCTGTGCATGCTCAACTGCATCAATACCTTGCTCCTCTGTGCTTTGCTCGATTCTGAGGTAGCCACTCAGGGCCAATATGAGCAAGACGATTGTCGACAGGGAGAGAACCCAGCTTAGAACCGCAGTGACGAATATTAACTGTGCTGCCAGAGCCTTGGCAACAAGACCTGCTTCGCACGCGCCTGCTGCACCAAAGCATTGGAAACCCTTCAGCCCGTGAAAGTGGCTAAATCCTTCTCCCCAATCAAACAGGATAGCAGCCATCGCACCCCAAACACCGCAAGCACCATGAACTGCACTTGCATCCACAGGGTCATCAATCTGCAGTCGCTGCAGGCCCATGGAAAAGGACTGATAAACCAAACCACCAATACTGCCCACAGCCAAGGCACTGCTGCACTCCATGTTTGCACAGCCTGCTGTAATTGACACCAAACCGGAAAGGATTCCATTGCAAAGACCGCAGACATCGTACTTTCTTGAGCGCAGGAAGCGAAAAAGAAAAACTGTGATACCTCCGGCAGCAGGGGCAAGGGTTGTGTTGACAGCTACTTGCGCCGCAGCAGCAGCACTGACATCGTCATGAAGAGCCAGGGTAGAGCCACAATTAAATCCGTACCAGCCAAACCAGAGCATCAAAGTGCCCAGCACAACAAGTGGAAGACTATGTGGTTCAAATGCTGCTGGGTCTTCGAAGCGACCTCGTCTGGCCCCAAGGACGATGGCACCTGTGAGGGCGCCAACGCCCCCCACCACATGCACAATGCAACTTCCCGCAAAATCTGTGAAGCCAACCTGCAATGTAGAGGACAGCCAGCCACCACCCCAGGTCCAAGCCACAACACCAGGATAAATGATCGTGGACATAAAGAATGCATAGCCAGCATATGTGGCACTTCGAACTCTTTCCGCAACGCCACCGCTTACAATAGTCACAGCAGTAGTACAAAATACCCACTGGAAAAACCACTGCAACAACTTGCTCTGGCATGATTCGTTAGAACAGCTTTCAACTGGCAGTATACGCCCTTCCATGGACTGTACAAGATTGGAACCAGCAAAGCCGGTTGTCCCAAAGAGATCGTAGTTCAGCTCGCCATACGCAAATGCCCATCCACAAAGCCACCAGCCCAAAGTTCCCACGCAAACGTTCAACAAATTCTTCATTAGAAGATTTGATGCGTTCCTAGCACGGCAGGTGCCCGTCTCCAACATGGCAAACCCGCCGTGCATCAGAGCAGCAATGCTTGCGCATATGCAGAGCCAAATAGTGTCAAGCGCGCTCGCGATGCTGATGTCACGCTCACGCAGCGCTTCCACCTGGTGGCCACTACAGGCATGCGTGCAAAACACAAGTCCATGAATTCAGCCTGATTCAGACAATTTGCAAGTGGAAGTTTGCCAAAGGATACGTCAATGGCTTGTATGGAGAAACTAGAGGTACGCAAGGGCTGTGTACGTAATATCTTGGGACCTTGCGAGACTACCCACCTGAAATATCCTACGAATGGAGCTTAGCAGCCAGGGCTGTCACTGCATACGAATGACAAAGGAAGCTACTGTGAAGTGCTGGCAGGCGATCTGAATGAACTTCGCACAAAGATTACCCAGGTTGTCCCCGTGCCAAGCCAGGTAATGCTTGACACATTCAAAATATGGCCATTTGGTGCTCACAGGCTACGCACAGTAAAATGGAACATCCAATCAAAGAAACGGTTATGTTTGTTGGTCTGCTCACGGGAGCTTGGCTGGCCGTACCCTTCACAGGAAGCATCTCCCATCACAAGTGCCTCCGCGAGAAAGTAAGATGATGACAACGACTGTAGCCCACGGTGGTCTGATGGCCGTTCCTGGCAACAACGCTGGTGCGGCCGTGCTTGCACGTCTGCACGTCTGAACATGAGCCAAGTCTCTTCTAGCTCGCGTATCTTGGCATCGATTTCCTCGCGCAACGCCTGCACCTCTTTGTGGAGATCGCCATCAGTGCATTGGGCAAAGGCACATGCCACCAAGCCGACCTCGAGACACAGTAGAGCAGGGTCTTTGCGGCTAGCACTTGTGCATCGTCGTGTATCAGTACTGGGACACAGCACGATGGCTTTTGCAAAAACCTAATGCAACACTTAAATGTAGATTGTGCGCCAGAACATTTCCGAATCATGCCCTGGCCGTGCAAGCAGCGTGAATAAACGCATATGAGCAAGACTGAGTTTCCAGCGATAAAGCCGAAACGGAACTGTGTAGGCATGGAAGGGCATTGTGGTGCTATTTGAGCACTGCCCTTTTCAAAAAAGGTCCGAAACAGCAACATGATGCACAAGGTGAATTGTTGGCGAACAACAATCAAGGCCATGCAAAAGCAACCGAGACATGTCCTTCCAAAAGAACACCCCGCGAAACTGCTCCAAAGAATGCGCCCGCATGATCTCCAACTTGCTTGCACAGCAGAACACAAGCAAAAAACAAACCCCATCAAAATTCCTGCCCGCTTCCCAGATGTTTACGTTGTGTCTGCAGATGCGTGGGTGCTGAACGTTCGAAACGATGTTTTAAGATTGCTCGTCGTTGAATGTTGTCAATTCATACTTTCGTTTTTGGAACTGCTGAACCTTGGAGCGTTGTTGCCCACCAGTTGGATACTCATTGCGAACATGTGTCGGCGCAACTGGCACATTTCAAATATTGAATTCAAAGTTTGGTAACTTTCGACACATCGATGCAATCATTTTGCATGGAAGATCGGACAACACAAAATGTAACAGATCCAGTTGATGATCCTGGTTCCCACATGCCACACGAACTTGCATGTGCTTCAATAGCTACTAGCTTTTCCAAAGCCGTTGGTAGATGTTTCGACGCATTATCTTGAAAACGGTTTGCTGCTGGAATTAATGCCCGCATTCAAATGTGGGTCCAGGCGTGTAAAGTTGACACCCAAACACTAAAAATTCAAAAGGATGCGGAAACGCTCAAATGTGGAACTTTCTCCCAAAAAATTCACAGGAGCAGGAAAAATCATAACTGACGATCTGTCCCATGGATCAAGCCACACAGCACACCAGCAATTTGTGATTGGATTTATATCAAGCTTCACATGTACATTTGCTGGATCCTGTGGTCAACGACCACTTACAAGTATTGCCTATACGTATATATGCTCCCCCACCATTTACCGAGAAAATCTGTGATGTCAAACATATTGCCAAGCAACTCAAAAACCGTTGCTGTCGAGCTGTCAGAAATAGTCTTCCAAGCGTACAGAATTTTCCTTGAACGCTAAAGCCCTAAGCCTTGAAAGTAAATAACACAGAAATCCTGGATTCTTAGATTTCGAATTGTGGGTAAGAATTCGGTTTATATGATTTCATTTAAAATGTTGATGAAAAATTATCCAGTGATCCTGGATTTTCATTCCTTATTCCACTAATGGTTGCCACAATGTTTGTTGAGACTTAGTCTTGAAACCTTTCAAACCATGTATCCCGAAAAAGAATCACTGACATATCTGATTCATCCCTATCAATAACCAAATTATTAACATATTCAATTCCCAAATCGAATACATGCATGTATGAGATTGTAGACGCTCACACACCGGAATGTTTTGCTCACAAGTCAATCTTCAAAGACAAACAGTTGCATGGATGATTTTTTGGAAACTGATTCTTGGTTTGAAGTAAAACATTGTTGAATTCAAAACAACTGAAATCCAACCATGTCTTGGAATAAGGTGTTCATCCCACTGGGGGTGAGCACTTATTTCACTAATGATTGCTACAGTGTTTGTTGAAAGTTTGTCTCCAAGTTTCTCAAACCAAATATCCCGATACAGAAATGAGATTTCTCTGATTCATGTCAATCAGTCACCAAATTACAGACATATTCATTTTTCAAATCGAATACATCTATATATAAAATTGCAGACGCTCACACACCGGAATGTTTTGCTCACAAAGGGCATGCCTGTCTCGATCCCCGCCATCACCCGAGTCCTTTAAGGAGAGTTAGACGCCGTACCAACGCGCCCATACCAGGATTTGAGCTGAAGGGCCAACTCAAGCGAAGCCACTGCTCCAACCCCAGAGTCAACGAGACTTAATCTCATTCTTTGGTTGCATTATTCCAATCAATTCGAAATACATATTCGTCACACAATACATTGTATAAACGAATATATATATAGATAAGATTAAATCGAATCAGAAAGCGGCCTTCTTGTTGGCAATGGGGCATGCCTCAGCGAGTCCCTGCAGTTACCCCCATCCTTGAAAGAGGGAGTCTAGGCATGGCTTCGATCGCACAACCCCGTCCAAACAAGAGGCAGTAAAGTCCAGGCGACTCGGCCCATCCGTTATATTAGAAGACGTGC